TTTTATTTTATTAATAATTACATACAAAACAAAAAAAAAACAAAATTAAAGTAATTACTATATAATTATTTATAAATATATAAACTTTCAACTAATATAAAGTGATACCTAATTAATTAATAATGTAATATTTACAAAAATATTTCATACCATGTGCTTCAAGGGAATTAACAAGAAAAAAAAATAAAACGGAGAGCTTGGCTGAAAGTTCTGGTGCCCACACAGCCAACCGGAGAGAATTGCAGCACACAGCACGAGAAGGATCCGATTGGAGATGGCTAAGGATATCTGCAGGATGTAAGAGAAAGAGCTAGGTGGATATCTACAACATCGGTGCAGAACACGTACCTACATGGAGATAGTTGAGCTAGGATGGTGCAGCACGCAACAAAAGGAAGTGGAGAGAATTGCATAACACATGGAGATGGTTAAGGGTTGTCTAGCATGCAGGAGAAGGAGGTGGGCTCAGCGAACATGCATAGAGATGGATGAGGATAGTGCAGCATAGGAGAGAAAAAGAGTTGGAGACATCTGCAGAACGCATGGAAAATGGGTGAGGAATAGGGTATATAAAGGACTTTTAGCAACAAGAATTATGTTGCTGAAAGTCCATCACATCATTAGCATCATGCTCTATGTTGCTAAAACATATTTTAATTTCAAATTCACCACTCATCAGCAACGTATACCATGTTGCTAAAATTTAAAATCAATATTTATTCCGCCACACTACTTAATTATTAAAATTAATATATTTTAATTAATTCTTAAGCTTAAAAAAATTATTTTATATATGAAATTTTATTTATTATTAGATTTTGATTAATCTATTAACTTTTATTTAATACTGATAAATTAATTAATATAATTATATTTTTTATTAACATATATAAATAATTTAAAACACTAATTTATCTAAAAATATGTGTGAACATATATATCAAGCTACGTAGATATTTCACATAAAGTTACTGCAAATTTTGGCCTTTAGTCGACTTTTAATATAAGAGTCAACTCTTGTCCCAGAAGAGTCGACTCTTAAAAGAACAGAGTCGACTATACCCACCCGGGGAACTTTCCCTGCTCTCTAGAATTTGGGAGTCGAATGTTGCTCCTTTATAGTCGAATCTTGGAGGCTTGAGAGGCGATTCTTTATGTATAGAGTCAACTCTAACCTGCAGTAGGATACTCCAACCTATCTAGAATTTGGGAGTCGAATGTTAATCCTATATAGTTGACTCTTTGAGGATTTAGAGTCGACTCTAACCCACAACAGGATCTCGAACCTCTCTAGACTTTGGGAGTCGAATGTTGCTCCTTTATAGTCGACTTTTTGAGGACTGAGAGTCGATTCTTTATGTATTGAGTTGACTCTAACCTGCAGCAAGATGCTCGAACCTCTCTGGAATTTAGGAGTTGAATGTTGCTCCTATATAGTTCGCTCTTGCAGGATTTAGAGTCGACTCTTCATGTATAAAGCCGACTCTAACCTGCAGGAGGATGTTCTAACCTCTCTAGAATTTGGGAGTCGAATGTTGCTCATTTATAGTCAAATCTTGGAGGCTTGAGAGTCGATTCTTGATGTATAGAGTCGACTCTAACCTGTAGCAAGATGCTTGAACTTCTCTGGAATTTGGGAGTCCAATGTTGCTTTTATATAGTCGACTCTTGGAGGGTTGATAATCGATTCTTGATGTATATAGTCGACTCTAACATGCATGAAATGCTCGAACCTCTCTGGCATGCCCTAACTTTTGTACTTGTTCTTACTGCACTTTAATTTTACCATAGCACATTACATACAATGTCATTTATCATATCACATTTTCTCCATTTATCACATTATTACAGATGTGTACCACTTATATAATTCCCTCATGTCATAATCATAAATTAAAAGATAAGTATATAAGTAGCACATGCAACATTTAACATGACCATTTGCATATTTTAAACTTGCAAGTCATAGTAATTCAGTTAATATTACCACAAACCATTCAATTCCAACTGACATATACACCCATGTCTTAACAAGTTCAAATCACCCTTCCAAAAGCTAAAAGTATTTTTCTCAAGTAGCAAGAACATGCCAAGTTTTGAGTTTGCAACCTCATGCACACTGATCATTCAGGCCCAAATGGACCCTGGTAATCTGCATCAAATCTCAACAAGTAACCATAATCATCTTGCGGGGGATTCGCTAAAGATGTACTTGGAGCTTCTGACTGTCTCCCCATTTAGCCCATAGGGAATGCAGGTTCTATTGGGATTTGCATTGGCATTGCATGAGGAAATGATGGCCCACTAGCATGAAATGATGGCCCAGTAGTAGGGAATGATGTCCCTATAAGAGGAAATGCTTGCCCAATGTGAGATAATGATAGGGTAGCACTAGGTGGGCGCATCCTATAGGCACTAAAAGCAGCAAATTGTTGCGATAGAGAAGCCTGCAACCTCCCCATGTCTTCTAGCATTCGTTGCATTGCTTCTCGTTGCTCTTTGACTTGCCCTATGTCATCTCGCATCTTTTGCATTGCCTCCCTATCTTTGGCTTGTTTTTCGACCAGGTCTAATATCATCAAGCTCACATATGAATTCCCCTTTGGTTGTTGTTTTCTATATGTAAACCCAAGTTCCTCTGGGTTTAATTGTGAACCAATTCCTAGCATGAAATTGTTGTGGCATCCCTCAACGGCAGTTGCCCAAGCGTCATTGTCTCGTGGTAGCCATGATGCTGAGTCCAGGCCATATGTAGCAGAGCACTCACTGACATATGTATCCTACAAAAGTAATGCAAAAAAAACCTACAACATATGACTGTAAATTTTTAAATGTTGTATATACATAACAATGTTGAAAATGTAATCATTATTATTTAAAAACAAGTGATAACAAAGTAGCGATCATCGAGAGACAATCAATACCCAAACACAATTGTTTCATGAACACCTACACATACTAATACTTACTCATACAAAATTTTTGTTATATTTTATTTAACACCACTAACTTTATTAATAAACCTTTTACTCACTTTTTCTAACAATCTATGTCACTCATAGAAAACTTTTTATCTAATATGTTTGCACTTACATGACGAGCCTTAGGTTTGTCACCACACCATGGAGCTTCTTGCCCTTGAGGGACACCTTTTCGTACAATATGTGTTTCCTTGTATAGCTCTTGGTGTGTTGGCTTTACCGCCTCAACAGATTTTGGTCTGTGTGTCACAACCATATTATATGAGATTAGCAAGTTATTTATATTTATAATTAATCGATAATTATACAAAAAATAGTATACTTTGTGTTCATTATTTATTTTATATATATATACACTTTTCTTTCTTTTCTTACTTACCATCCGTTCTTCATGTACATCAAAACTTACTGATCATGTAATGTGCGTAATTCGTTCCCCAGATGCTCGGATTTTCTTCCCTCTCTCGCTAAGATTATGAAACTCATCAGAATCCCAATAAGCACATAATGTAGGCCATAGGTGCCTCAGGCACCCATACCGGTCTATACTCACCGTTTGTACACCACTTATCCCATTCATCCTTCATATTATCGCCCTATTCTTTCTTCATTGATCTTAAGAACGTCGTTCAAACCACATCCTCATCTTCTAAATCCCATTGATAATGTTTCTGTCACCACATACAAATAAATTATTTCCATGTAACTTAACAACATATAGTATAATAACACATGTATATACACTATATCCCATTTTTTCGTACATACTTAATTACCATTCTATCCATACGAAAGAGTTAATTGAAACGAATCAAAACTGTTAATACTTTATTGATAAACTCAGAATTATAAGGATTTTTGTGTCATATAATGACTGTTGTGATACCATATTGTTTTACCAAAGTCATATGATGACTGTTTTCTTTTCTTTTTTTGTTTTTGTTTTTAAAGTGTATGTAGTACTCACCCCATTAAGTTACCTATATCGACCAATGCACCAACAATAGTGACTTTTACTTCATCATATATGTTGTTACCTTATCATTAATCATACAATACATATTTGATGGAAGGATAATGTATAAAATGATAATTATTCTTACCTTAAACAACTCCCACACTTGCATCCTTTTGTGTTTTGGGAACAAGTCATACGTGAAGTAATCACTATCATAAACCCTTTTCCATAGGGTCGTAATCAATCTAGGGACTTCAACATCTAAGAATGTACCTTTATGCAAAATTTGTATAAGTGGTCTTTTATCTAGTCTTCTTACAACCCTTTTTGGTTTGTTCGAACCTCTTCCCTTCTGCTTCTCATTATGGGATGAGGCTGCTGCATGAATAGAACCTTGTGGACTAATAGGTTGAGTATGCCCCACATCCAATACTGGGGTGACGTCACATGCAAAATCTATAGCGTCATGATGTCCTTGTCTCCCTGATGTGTTGCAACTACGTGCAGAGTTGATGGGCCCACTCGACATCCTACAAAACATATGGTCACATAAAAGAGGTAAGTACTAATGTCACCAAATAAGTATATGTGTAGTTTATAAATTTTCTTTTTATAAACATTTACAACATCATAAAGAATGGTAATGAAACAAAAAATGAAGAAACAGTCACTAGTCATTCATGAGTATATTTGTAATTACGAAGTCTGATACACAAGATTTATTTATTTTTTTAATGATAGCCAAATTTTAAAACTATTACTCTACATGAACTTAAATTATTTAACGACTATTCAGTATCGCTACTATCACCACCAACATCGCTTCTTGTTTCATATCCTTCATTTCCTTCACTCGCATTTTCATCAACATCATCATTTGCATCTCCTTTTAAGTCAACCACTGTTGCTCCTTCTACATGTAGAGATCCATGCATTCTATAAACACCAAATTGGAACTATGCTCATTTGATTGTGTGGATGGTGATTCCTCATATTGAAATATTTCTTCCATATCAAGTGAGGTTGAAGAAGCGTCAATCAGATGTCTAGCACGTATTTTGCATGGGGCGAACCATTCATGAGTTGCTCAATTATCTAAAGGGTAACTACTGTAATACACTTGCGTTGCTTGACACGCAAAGCAAAATGGCTCGTCGGTCTATAGTCGATATCGTGGGTTGACCTCAACAATGTTGCAAACTTGGTTAATGTGTGTTCCACTATGTGTATCAACCTAATCACAATTGAATAAGATAATTATCTGCATTTGCCTATGTTGTCCATAATACAATAGTTCGATGATTTCGTTAAGGATGCCATAATAATAAGTCTCAGTATCATTAGATATGGTTGTTCTTTTCACACATACATCACAGTTATATGTTTATCTTTCACTACTGACTTTTTGTGTCATAAATCTAAAACCATTGACATAATCACCTCTGTATACATTCACTGTCCATGATGAGCCCAGTGCAAGGTATTGCAAAACCTTATTCCCTTCATGATAGCCATTTAACACCTACCAAATTTATATGTACGTGTTATTAGTCAAATTTATAGTATTTTCGTTAAAAACTCAATTAGTTAATATATTGTATATAATAATATTTGAAACAACATGACACGATGAAAATATTGTTTACCCTATCTTTGAACCACATAACAAAACTTCTGGTGCGTGCTTCGTGTGGATTAGAAAGGGTCATATATACACTAACTTCTCGATCAAAGATGCTGAAATATGGAAACAATTAGATGTGACCATAAATGGAATGTTGAACTTTCCTGCTATAATTCAGCAAGCTTACTCTAAAAATTTAATAAAAAGGAGTTTAGTTTGTCATATCTCACCTAAGAAGTGCATCAACTTCCCTAGAGTTTAGTAGGACATAAAGTTCAGCTGCCTTCATCTCTTGAGTAGTTAGACAGCGTGTCTGTGAATGTGAACCCATTGGATGACTAAGGCACACAAATATCGAGAATTCTGTGTTCCTATAAAGTTGAACTATTGCAAAGTTCCTTGGGGGCTTACTCCAACTTGTTTCAACATCTGCACCAAAATATCGTGAGCAAAATCCTATTATTTCATTGAGAATGTATGCTTCGACAATGGATGCCTCAACATGATTCTTGTTCCCTATTATTTGTTTAAGTTTGTACATTTATCTGTAAAATTTGAAATTAGCTATGAGCGTAACAAATTGTTATAGATGTTGTTATACATGAAACTAGTGCAAACTTGTTTCCATTACCGTTCAAATGGGTACATCTATTGAAATTGTACAAACCCACCAATTCACGCCTCAAAAGGAAGATGGATTGCTAGGTGCTCCATACAATCAAAAAATGATGGAGGGAAGATTCTTTCCAACTTACAAATTATTTCAACTATCTTTGTTTCCCAAACTGCCATGTCTTTTATGTTGACATTTGGGGAACATAGTGCACAGAAGAAATTACTTACTTTTGTTAATGAATCCCATATAGAATCCGGTAATAAGCCACGGAAAGTAATTGGAATGAGGGGTTGCATAAATATGTGGCAATTATGACTCTTTAATCCAACTAAGCGTAGCTCAGCTAAGTTCACACAACGTGCGATGTTAGATGCAAAACCATCTGGAAATTGCACATTTTTGAGCCATGTACATAGACATCTTTTCTTATCTTTTCTTATCCGTGTCAAGTGCATAACTTGCATTTGGCTTGCAAAGCGATCCAAAACTGTCATAGTACAAGTGTAGTTCTTCCCTATCACAATACAATGGTAAGTCCATTCTTGACTTAACATTATCTTTTGAGGATGAGTCCTTCATGACTATGTGTATGATGTTGTCAAAGAAATTCTTCTCATAGTGCATGACATCAAGATCGTGTCTGATCAAGTTATCCTCCTAGTATGGGAGTTCCCAAAAGATACTCCATTTGACCTAATTGTGTGTTTCACTAAGCCCGGAAATAGTTTGGTTTATTGATGGATTTCCAAATAAAACATCAGGTAGTGTGGCAACTTGAAGTTCGAACAAAATGACCATCTAATCATGGAGGAGGGGGGCCAAATTCTAGACGACCCTTAAGGAATTGAGTTGCATCCATTCTATACGAGTGTTATGTAGGAAGAAATTGCCAATGATAGTTAAAGAAGTAGATCTTGCGACTATATTGCAAGTAAAAAGCACGAGTCATTTCCATGCAATATGGACAAGATAGACGACCATGCGTGCTCCATCCAGAAACCATACCATAGCTAGGGAAATCTATTATGGTCCACATAAGCATGGCTTGCATTGTGAAGTTCTGTTTACAGAAACTGTCAAATGTTTCTAACCCCGACGACCATAACCGTTTCAAGTCATCAATAAGTGGATAAAGGAAAACATCAATGTTTTTTGCTGGACTCTTTGGTCCAGAAATAACAAGTGTAAAGAATGTAAATTTAGGTCGCATGCACAACTCAGGAGGAAGATTGTAAACAATAATGAAAACAAGCTAACAAGAATATGACCTCGAAGAATGACCTCATGGGTTAAACCCATCTATTGCAAGACCAAGACGGACATTTCGTGGATCAGATGCAAATGAAGGATGAACGGCATCAAAGTGCTTCCAAGTAGTAGATTGAGCAGAATGAATGAGAATCTCTGAGTCAACACGACATTTAAGGTGCCATGTCATATGCTCAGCAATTTTACGAGATATGTACAGCCTTTGTAGGCATAGAATAATGGGTAGATACCACAAAGAATTCCTGGGCCTACTCTTTTTTTGAGTTTGAGCCGAGTTGCATATTTTATACCTAGGTTCACCACAAACTGGACAAGCAGTAAGTTACTTAGCCTCATCACCATAATACAGAAAGCAGTTGTTGACACATGCATCAATTTTGACATAGCCAAAACCTAGGTTTTTCACGAATTTTTTTGCTTCATAAAAATTTGATGATACTTTTTGCTGATCTTCCAGACTTAACAATTGCCTACAACCCTAAATGATGTCATTGTAACCAACACCAGTTATGCTATTTTTGGCTTTGCTATGTAGCATATATGATAACCAACCAAGCAATGTTTGATTATTAGATGATGGTCCAAGTGGAATGGTTGTAGCATGCAACAACTCATAAAAAGATTGTGCATGTCTATTTGGCGCATCCCCAACATTTTCAGATGCAAACTATGTTTCATTTCTAGGGCGATCGTTCTCAAATGGACAGAATGCATCATAAACCATGTAATGGAAATCATCCTCAGTATTAACATGTTCCTCAATATTACTTGAGGATGCCACATCACTTGCAGCTAAGCATGGATCAACATTGTTATTTAAAGTTTCATCATGTGCCCACTACACAGAATATGCATCCATGAAATCATATCTCAACAGATGGTCTGTTACAGTTGCCTTGTTGTGGTGAGGTAAATTTCCACATTTACTACAGGGGTAGCGAATTTCAGCATTTGGGTGAACACTAGGACGACTATATATGAAATCAAAAAATTGTTGTAATCCATTAAAGAATTTGACATCACAATCTCCACGAGGACCTCGTCGTCTATACATCCAACGACGATCATCTGTCATCTTTAATTGAATAATAAAATTAAAATTTTAAGTAAATTAAATAATTATTAAGGTAAAAATAGTAATTATATAAGTACGTGTAATAGACAAAGAAATGGGAAAACCCAGCAAGTAGTGCATAAAAGTTGTAATCACTGTTTTCAAACCGGATCGGCTCGGTTGGTTCAATCGGTTGAACCTAAATCAATTCTAAAAACGGGTCAGTTTATGATATTTATCCGTTGGAGGTCAAACCTGGTCAAAACCCAAGCAAACACACTTAGACCCAACCAAACCAGTGAAACCCATTCAAGTCGGTCAACCCAATCAACCGAATTAAAACATTTTTTACATTTTCAATTTTTTCTCTGTTTTTCTTTAATTTTTATTTTCTATGTTGGTAATTAATAGATAGTATAATAATTAAATTGTAAAATCTATTTAAAATCAAATCACAATTAAGGAATGAAATTTTTTAAATTTATTTAAATGTAATTTGAAATTAAATTACTATTTCAAATTATAAAGTGATTGTAATTTAAAATAAATCAATTTGATTTTTAAAATAAAATAAA